TTCCTTCCTTCCTTCCTTCCTTCCTTCCTTCCTTCCTTCCTTCCTTCTTTCCAAATTGGAAGATAAGAACAGAGATTTTGTTGTAAGCATTGCTTTCCAAGCAGTCACAAATATAGATGATGTATTCATCAAAAGTGATGTAATCTGTTGAGATTTTTTGCCAGGAGAAATTTACTTTTTCTTTTTTCCAATAGAAGAATAATCCCAAAATCATGCACTATAGTATAGTTCTTACCCAGTGTTGGTTGGCTTGGAGCAATCTGAGTAGAAGGTTTAGGGCTGAGAGATGTAGTGCAATTTACTCCATTTTCTGCTGGTGTAGGTTTAGGTTCATTGTGAGCTTCTGAAGGTACATCTTGTTCTGCCTAACAATTCAAAACATTTCCCATAAAATATGAAAAAGGATTTATGATTAGAGAACTTGCACAAGGTTTTTGCTTTCAACACGTACAGATTCTTGCCCATAACAAACGCTGGTATTCTTGGACTAAGATTTATTCAAATTGTTCCTTGCTAAAAAAAATTGTACCTCATCTCTTCTCATTTCATCATCAAAAAAAGGCTTGAAAAATAAAATATATCAAGCTATCATTATTACTGTTCAATTCTTCTGATTATTTACAGGGAAATAGAAGGTGTTTTTTTTAAAAATAAAATAAAATAAAAAACTATGATTTTAACAAATAAATAGGAACAATCCAATTGCAAAATTAATTAATTAAATAAACCTAAATGAACAGAGATCCCACCTGGAAAGCTGCAGAAGCTATAGATCATGTTCGTAAAATAAACCACTAATTTTAGCTATAAAGAATCACCATGTCAATTAAGCCTGCCAATGGAAAATGACAATAACAAACATTTTAAAAGTCCGTTTCTTTAATTGCTTTTCATCCAAATTTATTATCCCTGAAATTAAAAAGAAAAGCTAGGCTTAGGCATGCCAGTAAGTCAAGATCATCCCATTTCTGCCTACAGAACTCTGTAGGCTACTACGTTTTAAGGTAATAACCACGCAAATGCAAGGACATCAGCAGAATGCACCAGTTACCACTTAACACCATATGACAGAGAATGATTTCTTTCGCTTTCCTTTCAGGGTTGTGTCCCAAAAGTCTGATTACTAATTCACCACTGAGGCACAGCAATAGTTCCCAGGACAGCTCACCCATAATTATATTCAACAGATAAGCTTACGTAAACAGTACCTCCATCCTTTCCGCATGCTTGGATGAGTATGCCTGTACCGTTCAACCTGTTTAAACATTCCCCACAACCTGTACTTCCTTTACCAGCTCTAATGCCCATGTTTAGAGTTCATTGCTTTTTTCTAGGCACTAATCCTCTCCCCCTTCCTTAAGGTCCTATTTATCGGAGGAGACTGAAGATTCCTGCTACACAAATGGAAGGGGGAAGAAGATCCATAGTTACAGAGCATTGCTAAGCAGTTTGCCTCCTTGAGGTACGAAAATTTATATAAGGAGAACCTGTTGCCATGGTACCTTGTTGGATTAGCTTCTCTGGAGGTTTTCATTAGCATTCTTCACCGGTAATAAGAGGGGGAAAGAGACAGCTCTTTTCTCAAAACCCTTCACCTTTTTAATAAGAATGTATAGGTTGAACAACAGGGTGGGATAAATGAAACTGAAAACTCTGTATTTGCAGGACTGAGCATTAAACACTGCTGGTAAGATTTTTCTCCCTGCTCCAATTTAGTACCTCAGAGGATACCAGATGTAAATTAGCTCTGACTGACCATATTTTACAATACTTTATTTACAATAAAGTATTTATTTACAATAAATAAAGTATGTAAATAAAGTATTTATTTACAATAATAGTATTTACAATACTATTATTTACAATATTTTACAAAAAGTCTCTCAAATGCAGGAATTTTTTTGTTTTCATTTCCTCCCCAAAAATTGAGGTGAAGTAACTAATAAACAATTCTATATTGAATTCTGTTTATTGGCACCTACTGAACAAAAGGAAGAACAAGAGGAAAAAAGGAAAATACAATAAATAAAAGCTTGGCAGCTTCGCAGATTAAACCAGCTAGCTCATAGAGAGATATGGGCATTTATCTGGCTCTTCATTACAAAGATATTTATTTTGCTGGAACAAAAAAATGCAGCATCTTAAGAGCTAGAGAGAAGCTGCTTACAGAAGCATTGATGTAGTGCTGAATTGCAGCCAGAGCAATTGTTTGTGGAGGGATCCCTCACCTGGTGCTGGAAGATAACTGCATCTGGAGCAATGCAGCAGATTTATCACACAGTCTAGTGCACATAAAACAAGGCAAGAAAGGAAGATTTCCTTGGGAATGGGGGAATCTTAACACACAGGTGTTCAGACTTGTAGAATTATGACTATGGCATGCTAATTCAAGCATGGTTGATGAAGATGAATAAAACAATTGAGTAGCGCTTTATCTTTCTTTTCCTAATTTGGGATTTGTTGTGATTTGCATTTTTATTTTTGGAAGCTGTTGCATCTAGAAAACAAATGTTCAATTACAATAACTGGAGGAAGAAATCTGTATGAACAGGGCTGAGAAATATAAGTATTACAATATTACAAATAGGAGATTTGGGGGTAAAGGCTGATTGATTGAGTTATTTGAAAGGTTTACACAGTATGCATCAGGATTTATGTCCTTTTCCCAGATATGTGGATTCTGTTTGACTGATCTCTAACCATGACTCAGTTGTCCAAGACCATGGAAGCTTTGACCAAATGCTGCAGGATGTAATATTTTCAGCAAAATGATAAAAGTAGTGTCATGATCTACACTCCTTTAGTATGTATGTATGTATGTTAGGACACATGTGCAAAAGAGATGGACTTTGTGGCACAGTGGTATAACACTGCCTTTATTGGTTGCTCCCTTGCTCTTTCACCCAGCCCCTCTAGGGGGATGTCTCTGTTAGAGGCAGTTTGTTTAAAGACACTTATTGGACTCAAGAAGAAAATATTATTTTTGTAGAAAACCACTGCACTTAATATTTTTAACAATATTTGTAGTTTTAAAAGTTGACAATTATTAAGAAAAGTATTTCTTTCCAGTCATGAAAATGAAAAGAAATGTGCTGTTCCATGTGTAAGGTTTTTTAAATTTATAGAAATTCAAATGTATATAGTAAAAGTTGTCTCATGTATGTCAATCCAAATGCATGTTGTTGACAGAAACATGCAGTAATATACATTTTATGCTGGAAATACAACCTTCTGAAGGAAGGCATTAACTTCTCTTATGTTACATTTTAGGAAACTGATATAAAAAAAAGAAATCCATTATGTTTTTTTTATAGTAGCCAATTACATTGAATAAATCCACATTTCAACACATGATGGAATTAGATTTTACCTGCAATGCAGAATGCAATGGCTAAAACTTTTTAAAGTTTCTGTTACTGCTATTGACATTATTAGATCATGGAACTGGATGGGGAGAAATAGGCTTAGACTCATCTCAAGTGACTGTGGATCTGGAAGCCAACCAAGACTAGAAATAGTTGATTTATGACTCTGGATAGGGTAATACCCTCCCTTACCAATTAACTCCATACTGTGTAGGTCAAGGGTCTTCAAACTTGGGCAAGTTTAAGACTTGTGGACTTCAACTCCCAGAATTCCTCCTCCAGTTATGTTAGGAATTCTGGGAGTTGAAGTCCACAAGTCTTAAACTTGCCCAAGTTTGAAGACCCTTTGTGTAGGTCTTCCTGAAGTCATAGCTTCTGTCTCCTTTAAAGACTTACATTAATCAGAGTCTGGATATACCTATGACTGCCTTCTCCAAAGTGAATCTGCTATTTAGGAACCCCCAGACAGTCTGACCACCAAGGGAATATACTTTTATTATATGAGTGGCCCTATAAATTATTTAAATAAATAAACTTTGACCCAGTATTTTAGACTTTTCAGTGATACATTCCCTGTCCCTCTGAAAGCAAATAAGCAAGCAAATACATACATGTTTAAAATACCAGTTTATTCAACAACATTACTAAGCAGTGCATATAAATGTGTGTAAATTGAAATGTCATCACTTTGAGTAATGAAATCTGTCCACTGTAGAACAAGACCAGCCACATGAGTGATTCTACAATTTCCTGCATGCCTTTTGATTATCCCAATCTCTCTGTAAAGGAGCAAATCTCAACGTAGGGCATACATTTGATAATATATATAAGTATAAACATGATTATTATACTTATTATATTATACTGATTATTATTATATTATACTGATTATTAATACATGAAATAGATACAATAAAAGGGAAGGTTCTGACTAGTTCTGGAGAACCGGTATCAGAAATTTTGAGTACTTCGGAGAACCAGTAGTAGAAATTTTGAGTAGTTCGGAGAACCGGCAACTACCACCTCTAACTGGCTCCGCCCTATCTATTCTCTGCCTCCGGAGTCCCAGCTGATTGGCTGGGTCTTCTTTTGTTGCCCTGCACAGGAGAACGGAGCTGGAAAGCAGGTTTGTGGCATGGGGAGGGAATGGGATTTTGCAGTAACTTTCCCCTGGAGTGGGATGGGAATGGAGATTTTACAGTATCCTTCCCCTGCCACGCCCACCAAGCCACGCCCACAGAACTGGTAGTAAAAAAAATTAAATCCTACCACTATGGATACCCTTTACAATGTTATTTTTTTTCTACAATCTTAGAGCATCATGCAGTATGCTTAATTGACCCCTCTGTTATTTCATCAAACCCCAATTCTTACCTCCTTCTTTACTTCTTCCTCGTCTTCTAGAGTCAGTGCTGCCAGTTGTTTTGCTCTCTGCTCCATCAGGTTTACGTATCTGATTGGATTAGATAATGCCTCAATAACATCTGCAAATGAGAGACAGATTTAGAACCCAATGCTGCTTTCTATCAAATAGCACTGACTTTTTATAAAAACTGATCTATCATCTTAAACTTAGGCTTATTTTTCTATATTTATTAATCTTCAAAGTCAGTTTAAAGAAAATAGGGGCTTAATGCAACCAGAGGAGAAGGAAGAGGAATTAATTCCAAGTTTGACGTAAAAAGCAAGGATGGGTGCAAGAAGGAGCAATATCAGTAGTTTACAAGGAAAGTATAGCACTACTCATTGTCTCAAGTTATTAATGCAAAGGTTCAGTTAACAGTAGTTATTACAGATGCTGACAATATGGGATGCTTTGTAAACAAAATAATTGTAAGTTAAATTTCTATTTTATCTTTATAAATTTGATAGTTACCTGCGTAGGTATCAGGTACGTAATCTTTAACTTCAATGTATACAAATATGGCCGGCAGCATCAAGGGCTGATTCCTTTCATTCCTCAGGCAAATATAATGATAACCTAGAGGAGAAAAGCAATGGGACAGCTACTCTCTCTGGGTCTCCATTTCTCTTACTAGTTAACGAATGTAGCACTGCAGGCAATAAAAGCACACATCACGAAAAACTGATAAATGTTTAAACTGAATAAAACGGTTAACGTTCAAGTTCATGAAAGTAAGCTGTAAAGAACCAAAGGCCCATCCATCACAATATTTTTGGGTGCCTGAAATGCCCAATGACTCAACTGACTCCATGTGGCTTCCTTTCATTTGAATTTTTATATTTTGAAAATTGCCTTTTGATTCAAAATCTGGAATAGTGGAACCGGAAAAATACCTGGCAGCCATTTTGTGTCACCACCCATTAATGGGTTCTCACAATGTAATTGTGCTCCCTGAATCCAAAGAGAATGGGAAGACCTGCTCAGGTGCTTGACCGGCAATATGCAGCCTTGGGAAAGTCCAGGTTTGTTAGAAAACTCAAAGGTAAGCTCAAAGAACAAGGCTTAACATTTACTACTGGAGGATTATAAATGGAAGATAATATTTGGTGTTTCAGGCTTGCAAACTGCCTAGAAGCCCTCTCAGAGAAGGGAAAAGTCATGAAATTTGAGAAAGGACTGATAACATTGTGAGCCAAAACAGGATCTCCTCTCAGAGATAAGCCAACTTGACAGCTTGTGAAAGCTTGCTTTCCCATGTCATTTCCTAAATGGTCAACGCCAGTTTTGGGATTAGGGTTTAGTGCCATTTCTCCTGCAAACAATCTTCACAGGAAGGAACAGGCTGGAAAGTCAAGGGGAAGGAGGCTGATTCAGCTGACTTCGGTCTCAAGATGTCATCTCCCAGTAAGTCCTGTCATAGTTGTATACTTACATATGCAGGAAACATGTTACCCGAGTTCTGTTTGATTTCTTTCCTTCTTTCAAGATTAATGCAATAACAAAAACAACAACAATAATGCAAATCTCTACCTGGTCGAATTGCTGATACTGGTAATATCCTATGCCCAATAAATTTTCCTCCTTCTTCATAAGCAGCTATCCTCAAACATGCTAGAGAAGGCAGGACCACCTGAAGAGAAATATTTTTAGTGTTTTATGGTATACTACATACACAGAGTTGGAATAAGAAGCATTTTCACAGAGATATTTCTGGAAACTGTTAACAGAATTTGAATAACACTTGGAAAATACAGTCTGAGTCTTTGGCTAAATTTTCTCTCACTCATTCACATACAGAGAAAAATTACCCTTGGGAATGTCATTCTTGGCAACTATATAAGCATGCCCATGTAGTAGTTTTCTTCGCAACCATACAGAAACAGTTTGTTTTTTCTAGGATTTTTTGGTTTCTACTTTTCAGTCTAGTCTATACTTCTGAGATGTCTTGGTGGTCTCCCATCCAATTACTAATCAGATTTCACCTGCATAACTAATTGAGATCAGCTAAGCTCAGCCACAAGAAAGAAAACAAATAGATAATCCAACTCTCTTTCTCTAAATACTGGAATGAACTGTAGTAAAGGAGTTTAAAAACCTTTTAATTAATAAGAAAAGCATTTTTTTTCTCTTGCATGTTTGTTATGATGACAGGTAGCCTCATTTAGCAACTACAATAGGAACCAGCAATTCAGTTGCTGAACGAAGTGGTTGCTAAGTGAAACTGTGACTGTGTTTCTGGTCTTCACCTCTGCATTGCTTTATAAATGTGCAAAGGTCATAAATGTGAGCACTGGTTATAAAGTTACTTTTTATCATTGCCATAACTGTGAACAGTCACAGAAAATGGCAATTGTTAAGTGAAGACTACCTGCATTGTCTCTTGAAGATGGTTCTGATCCAATGTCACAATTGGTCTGATGTCACATATCGGAGTCTCAGCAACAGCTGACGTCACATAGAATCCTTTTAATTCTTAAGACTTATAACTAACAGTGTGAAGGCAATGAAAGACTGAGAAGCGTTATGTGGAATCTTTGGATATCTAGGAGCAGCCCACATCCCACAGAAAATGGCCACAGGATTTTAGACGAAAATGTGTGGATGCCAAAATGGCTCAAACCATGTCAAAGCAGTCACGTCAAGTGCAGGAGGATTTGGATGAGCAATAATCAGCTTATCTCATAGGCAGTAAGAGTTGTCATACTACAAGTTAACTATTAAAATTCAGTACTCAATTGCTCTAAGGAAAAAAAATGTAAGTAAATAAACCATTTGATGTAGAATGTTTGTTAGCTTCATTCTTCTGTAGCTCTATTAGCTGAAACATTTAATTTAAACATTACATGTTTTTAATATTTGGCACATAAAACAGTCAATAATTTTCTCATTATTAACTTTAATATATCATGGATATATTGAAAATGTCTTGCAGTACTGCATTAGGACTTTAAAAAAAAGTATTAAAATTTTCTTTAGATGCGTATTAATTTTAAACCTTCCTTCTCCCTAAAAACCCACTTATCAAATATACCACAATATCCTAGAAATATATTACATTATTATGATTAGGTTAGGGTTAGGGTTATGATTTTCATTTGGGAATAAACATCAATCCAATAATTGAATTTTCCTTTAATTATTTGTGTACTGTGTTATTTTACATGGAATAATTGCTATTTATTGGTTTTTAAAAAAATGCAATTTATAAAAGTAGAGGACAAAGTAATACGCAAAAGAAAAGAAGAACAGTAATATCCAACAACTTAATAAATTATAAAATTGTAATACCATAACAAAAATAAAAAACAGAACTCTTCCCCAAATTAATATACTAACTTAAAACAAATCACCTGAAATGTATATCATATGCCTTTAATCAAGTAAAAATAATATACTGAATTTTGCATAAAATTTGGTTATAAAATATTATGAAATCCATGTCCAAAGGAAACCTATTACAGGGGAAAACTGTCTTTTCAAATATGGGTAAATTACACATTTCGAGATTTGGTATCCAGGGTAATAGTATTCTCCCAACCTCTCAATATAATCCTGTTGTCAATTTCTCATGCCTGATATAACAATAGAATGTCTTTCCATCTATTTTTTACTTTTTCCACAAAGGTAAACATTCATTTGACTCAGTATCAAAATTCAATCTACATGCCAATAAAGCCCAAATATGTCTTAAGTGCATGAAAGCCAGGAAATTAAAGAACTTTTTTTTTGCTGCTTGTTGACCCAAAAAATTGTTGGGAGCCTAACAGAGATATATAATAACTCTCCATTAAGTCCACATACACTTAAAATTCTCATTCTAGTTATATATAAATCCAATCATATTTTTGATAGTCTGGTAAATGAAAACCTCCTTCAAAAAAGAGCTTAGCCTAAAAAAAACCTGCCACAATAGTTTCAAATGAAATAAAACTATACTCTAAATGTGGGATGATATGCCCACCAAAGAAATATATGTTTTGTTTATGTATGTATGTATGTGTGTGTGTGTGTATGTCTCATTGAAAATCCATAACTAGATCACTAATAATGCTAATGATCACCACACACCCTCTACAAGGCTATCTCTTTTTGCTCATCTACACCTCTTCATTGTATAGCTTTTGAAAACAACGCATTACCCATACTTTAACATTTTGGCTTAATAACCTAAACATTGAAATATAATAAAAGAAATAAAAAAGAGTAAGCTGTATTTGATGGCAAATATGAAATGATCATAAATATAACATTATTAGCTATCTAATAATAATAACTGGTATACCGTTATATTCGGGCAAATTAAAAGGAAAATGAGTATAAGCAGAAAACATAAAACAAGAATAAAATAAATGACTTCCTAGGAGAAACTATTTATTTGCTTATTTGTTTAAAAGATCTGTATGGCTGTCTATCCTAGAGCACAACTCTGGGCAGCTCACAACAACCAATAAAATCACAAACACAATAAAAACTATAATACCGTATTTATCGGCGTATAACACGCACAGGCGTATAACACGCATCTTCATTTTAAGAGGGAAATTTCAGGAAAAAAATTTAAATTTCTAAATAAAAACTTTGAAGCACCGCCCGGGCTCCGCTTGCCCTCCGCTCGCACCGCCCGGCCTCCGCTCGCACCGCCCGGCCTCCGCTTGCCCTCCGCTCGCACCGCCCGGCCTCCGCTTGCCCTCTGCTCGCACCGCCCGGCCTCCGCTGGCTTCTTAACATTATATCAGCGTATAACACGCATACATCATTTGCCCCCTATTTTCAGGGGGAAAAAAGTGCGTGTTATACGCCGATAAATACGGTAATTGCCTTAGCCCTAAAAGCCAGCTGCAGGTGACTTTGGGCCAGTCACTCTTGCTCAACCCAACCCACCTCACAGGGTTATTGTTGTGGGGAAAATAGGAAGAGGATGTATTGAAAATGTTTCCCACCTTATTTGTAAAAATAATAAACACAGGATGAAAATAAATAAATATAAATAAATAAAAAAAGAAAATGAAGACCTGCAACTCAGTCATTCTCCTAAGAGTCCCAAGGCTCCATAGCTCCTCACTTTCTACTTCTATCACGCTCACTATCTGACCCCAATCTTCTGTAGTTTCATTAGGCAAACAAGTGCCAACATTATTACTAACATAATAAAATACTAATAATGAACAAGAATGGAAAAGGAGGATCCAAATAAAATACACCTATGGGCAGCCATACAAGTCTTATAAACAAATTTATCAATATATTCAACTACCATAGAATAAATCACATTTTATCAGTAAGCACTTAGGGATCTAAAATTAAAGGAAGAAATCTTTCTTTACAACTCAGGTGGAACAGAATTAAAGCACACAGAATTTTTAAGTGATACATGTCGGCAAAACCAGAATATAATAGCCATGCATTATTCTTTTGCAGAGGGATTAAATATAAATACCACCTTCTTAAACACTATGGCTTCTTCTTCCCATACAGGATTCACAGCATTGCCTTGAGATGTCTTTGTCTTGAGAGCTTTTCTTCTCGTATCCACAGGCAGACCAAACATATCTACTTCGACGTAAGTTCCAACTTTTTTGTCAGAAAGTAACTGGCCAGAAATGACCTAAACGAAAAATGAAAGGTTGAGACATTCTATTAAAACACCTTTTGCTGCAATTCAATGCAAACTGACTAAATGACTTGCTTTCTTAATATGTAAAGCTTATAACAAGAGAAAATGGTCAAGAAGACTACCATCAGTCTTTCATCACAGACTGATCACTCTTGTAATTGTCTTGGAAAGCCTACCTATTCAAGGCACCTGTTGAACCCAGCTGGGTTTCAGAAGTAGCTCAGGTGCATTCTTTTGTCTGTTTAGCAATTCAACTGGGACCTTGAATTAGACTGGGCCTATATGGCTCAGTTTACAAAAAAAATTGAGTGACAAAATGACAAAAGAAGCATACAGAGAACCACTGGAGGACAATAAAGGATGACCACACAGGTTAGAGACTTTATTCGAGGCTAGTTTGTGGTGATAAAACTAGCAGAAAGTGCATATTTTCTTCCTTTATCAAGTCCAAAGATAGCCAATTGGCAATCATACTGAGTTATGGGAGATTGTATCCCAATTTGGTAGGACAGAGTCTGTCATTACTATAGGGCCGTTGTGAGCAATATTCTAGGCATTTGCTATATAAAATCACTCAGATTTGCTCATATAGGTCTGGCTTTGTTAGCTGGAATGAATTTGAACCTGCTAGTCCCAAGGAAGCAGACAGACTCATTAAGGCTGTGAGTTTCACCAGCTATGTATTAGACCAGGGGTATCAAACTTGTGTCGTCACGGCATCATGTGACATATTGCGACTTTTCCCCCTTTGCTAAAACCATGCATGGGCATGGCCAGCGCCTGACATATCTGGCCTGTGGGCCGTGAGTTGGACACCCCTGTATTAGACCCATGTCCATTCTGGTTGGAGGCCTCCTGGAAGATGACATGTGATTGAGTCTAAGCAATGATAAATTCATCCTGGAGAGTGGGGGTGCTGATGTTTAAGGAAGAGGTAATCCTACATCTCCTCAAACAGCTGTAGCTGGCCCAACCACGCTATACAATTTTCATCAGGCCTCCAACCTTCCATTTTTAGGGAAAGTTGTTGAGGAGGTGCTTTATACTGCAGTTTTTGAAGAGTCTGGAGGAAGTGGATTATATGGTATGTCTTTCAGTCAGGCTTCAGGCCTGTATATGGGAACAAAATGGCATAGACTTGCAGATGACCTGTAGCGTGGATGATGCATCTATGTTCCCTCTCCTTGATCTTTTGGTGGTTTTCAACACCATCAATCATGACATCCTTCCAGACCAGTTGAGGGGGTTAGAAGATGGCAATTTAGTGTTGCAATGAATTTTCTTCTTCTTCCAGGACTGATTCCAGTGAATATTCATAGGAGGGGAGATAAATGACCCTTTTTTTGTGGGCTCCCCTCAGATAATGTCTCCCTACTCTTCTGTACTTCTTGACTACTGGTTCCTTTACTGTTGATGGTTGATTCTAAAAGGTAGAAACTATCTTTGATACGTTCATTATCAATTCTAAGGCTTGTTATTTTACCTTTACCATCAGTTTGACTTTCTTTATATAATTAATTAATCTTGTTTTCTTGTCCAAACATGTGTATCATCTCTCTTTCTTCAATTTTGGGCATAATTTCTATTTTCCTGGTTATAAATATCTGAATGTGACTTGTTCAATATGTTTGTAACATATGCTTATAACAAGTCACTTGAATATATGAGATTCACACTTTTAAAAAATATTGGGAATGAGTGCATGAGAAGTTATTTCGGTCTTTCAGGTTCATTATGCTTATAGAATTTAGCAGATGAGCAACTGGATACCTACCTTTACAGACAAAGTGTTTGCAACTATTCCATCTACAATACTTTCCGTAAATGGATCAAAATGCTTGTCTGGTCTTCTCATGAACTCTGGCTTTAGTCTGTATCCACTTTTGCCATTATACTCATACATCCCCATATTTATTTGCATAGACAAATCTATATGAAAAAAAATTGTGTTATGGAATAATACAGAAATATGTTAATGGGACGATAGAGAAAGCCTAACAAATTGACCAAAGTACGACATTGAAATTTCACTAAAGGCTTCCTATCCTCTTTAAAAGCTCGAAGTTAATACAGGTAGTCCTCGACTAACAATCACAATTGAGCCCAAAACTTATGTTGTTAAGTGAAACATTTGTTAAGTGAGTTTCCCCCCATTTTACCTTTCTTGCCCCAGTTAAGTGAGTCACTGCAGTTGATAAGTTAGTAACCCAGTTGTTAAGTGAATTTGGCTTCCCCATTGATTTCGCTTGTCAAAAGATTGCAAAAGGGGATCATTTGACCTTGGGATACAGCAACGGTCATAAGTATGAGTTCAGTTGCCAAGCATTTGAATTTTGATCTTATGATCATGGGGATGCTACAAAGGTTGTAAGTGTGGAAAATAGTCATAAGTCACTTTTTTTTAGTGTCATTGAAACTTTAACAGTCACTAAATGAACTGCTGTAAGTTGAGGACTACCTGTATACTGAAGTCTGTCTGTAAAAATAACAAGCTGATTTTCCATTCAACCACCAATATTTTGAACTTATTTTTAAGACTATTCACAAGGAGTTATTTTTTTTAAAAAAATATCCAAGCAATGATAGATAATAGTTTTTTATGTACATATAGACTGGGTATCTCTGAATATGCTGAACAATAACAGCAGGTAAAGTGCTGTGATGTTTGCCTCAAATGCTCTGAATAATCATAAACCTATTTATGCTGCCCACTGAATCTGTGCAAAACAGCATGGACTAAAACCAGCTGGATGAAGAGACCTCTTAAGTCTTTGTCCCTGGTCTGGTTACATTATGTATTGAAATTATCCCCTCCACGGAGCTGAAAGAGATTCTGTTTAAGTTCTGGTCTAATTTTTATTTAGATGAAAAGGAAGGAGAGACAATGGTCACTTGCCTCACTACACATTTGGCAATTGTAACAAAGCAGAAGTGAGGTAGTCAGTCACAAATCTCTCTGATAATTAATAATTGCCAGCTGTGCTGCCAAACTCATTAAAATCATGTGCCTCTTTTTAATAAAGCAGCTAGTGCTTTCATTTTGATTTCACACCAAATGATCTTCTTTGAAAGTACGAATTCTCAGCCCTGAATGGGCAGTACAATTCTGAACTGGGTAAATGAAAGGCTTTCCACATTATCATGTCTGAGATTCAGAAGGGAACAGAAACAAATGAACAATCACTTGCTCATATTAATTTCTTACTGCCTATAAATCACATGTTTTTCACTGTTCATATTCATATGCCTATTATGTTTCCTCAGATATACTGTTGTTATTAAAATATGTTCCTTATTTTAATATCACTACAGAGCTAGGATCAAAAAATCCATCAAAGAAACATCGAGAATACCAACCTATGTAAGGAAATAAACTGTAATCCTGATTTGCTTAAAAAGCTTTTATTAAGGCAGATTACTCATTCATGCCGAAGTTTTAAAGAAGCAATTGGTTTCAGGAGAAGTATGCATGTCACTCTTAGTTATCTTTAATTTTTCCACAAACTTGGTATTTCATTATCTACTATTCTTCCTTATCAGAAAACATACAGCAACATAGATCTTACCTACAGTTTGGAAGTTAAGAGCAACCATTTGACAGCCTGCATTCCAGAACAGCTGAGGCATGTAATTTGAGGAATCAACACGTGTCCCTTTTGGGTAAATTCGGCTCAGCTGCATTTTATTATACCTAAATTGTGAGTGGTTAAGATAAAATACAACTGGAGAAATGGCTAGATTAAAAGTTTACACAACAAATTACTTGTTAATTTTTTGAAAGAAATGTGATCCCAGATTCAGCCCTGGCTACTTCTTATCTGTTGCTTTTATCATCTTGATAGGTAAGAAGTTGTATCTGGCCTTAAAACTATAATGTAATAGTAGGGGTGGAACTGTTTCTCAGAACCTTAACAAAACAGGTTCTGATTTGCAAAATGGGTAATGTTTGCTAGGAATTATTGTTGGAAAGAATAAAAACAAACAACTCCAAACTTCTTTGTTGCCCAAGACCAGTCTATGGATAGCAGAGATAACTAGCAGTGGTAGGCTGCAACCAGTTTAATAGTTCTGTGAGCTGTTCTGTGAGCGCACACTTTGCGTGCGCACGCAGCATTAAAAAAACATCAATTTGAACTTCTACAGCTTACCTTCAAGGGCAGCCATGGTAAGTAGAACAGCTGAGGTGCAGAAATCCACTATGCAGTGCCTCAGCTGAGCTGAAAAGATGGAAGTATAGGACAGGATAGGGTGGGGGCGGGGCCAGGTGATCCTAGGAACTACCAGTTCGCTAGAACAGGTCCGAACCAGCAGCAGCCTACCAACCAGTACTCATCCACGCCATAATGACAAAGTGAGCCTTGTCACTCAGAAACAACTAAATGAATGGGCACTTCTGTAAAGATGCGCCATCATACATGGCAGTAGAAGATCCTGAAAAATAGCTACCATAATTATGTAATATTGGCTTCACAGTCCCACAAAATGTTGATTTGTAGAATCAAAAGAGCCTCTATGCATTCTGCTTTGTATCTATGACAAGTATTTGTGTCAAACATTTAATGTTTTAGTGCAGGGGTATCAAATGTCGTCACATCGGCATCATGTGACGTACTGGGACTATTTTCCCTTTCCTAAACTGGGTGTGAGTGTGGCCAGTGTGTGATGCATCCGGCCCATGGGCTGGAAGTTTGACAGCTCTGTTTTAGTGCAAATGAAATATTTTGAATCTTCTTTATATAAAATATAACAACAAGAGAGAAAAAGAATGGTAGAATCCAAGGACTGATCTTATTTTTTGGACAGATCCTGAAAATAAAATTACAAACCTCAAGATGGATAGATAGATTAAAATATTCCCAAAAAACCCTATATATTTTGGAACAGAATTGTTGCTCACTTAACACAAAATATGATAAATGAGGGAAAGAGGGACACTATAATCTCACTATTGGAAACATGAAAAGCTTCCTCATATCAATGGAGTCTTAATCTGAAAAATGTCAAGTTTGATTGGCAGCCACTCTTCAGTAGTAATTATGTTTCTTATCACCAATTATTATAGTTGTTCTGATTTTAATGGCAAATGTCATGCAGCAGCAATATGTCATCTGTTCTATGCTAAATTTTGTCCATGTAGAATCTACTCTGAGGATCTATAAATATATCCACAATATATAATTGATAAGTATTTAACTAGGAATGTAAACCCAATTCATTTCTGTTTTGCTCTTCTAAGTTTTAATTCAAAAGGATGAATACTTTTGCGGGGGGAAAAAACCCTGATGTATCTATCAACATTGTTTTGCTGTCACTTATATATAGTAGTGTTGTGTGCATGTTTCTTCAACCTAAATTAATTTTCAGTAATGGTCCTCAGCAGCCTCTATTCCTCAGGGTCGAAGCTTTTCTAAGATATTTTTCTCAATTTCAAAGATACTCCACAAACTCGACCGGAGATTTTGTGAGCTGTTCAAGTGCTTTGGTTTCCACAAAGGAAGACATTTCAAAACTCTTGTTCCGTTCTGTAATTTAAAAAGAAAGTCACAATTTTTAAAATTAAGATTGTGCTTTATGTTTTCTCAACATACATCAATCCATCCAATAAAACATAAAAAAAATTGGGGGCAGGGGGGCAAGCTTGCCTTTACTCTTTCCCTTACAACTGACACACTTTCATTTTGGGATTACAATATTCTAATAGCAACCATTAGGAAAATAGTAAAAAAAAAAAAAAAAGCAGAGGGGAGGAGAGGATCGCTAGAACAACCTGCAAAGAGAGGAATTACACCACATTTACTTCAAAAAATGTTCAAGGAATTCAGCAATAAATTAGCTAACTCGATATTGAAATGACAGCTTTTGAAAAAAAGAATAGGTCAAAGACTGTAAAGATAAAACAGGAGAGGAAGGTAGAAGTTACAATAAAAAGGTGGAAAGCTCTGTAAAAGAAAGTGTCAGGAGATGTAAAAAGAAATTAATGATAAAGTGGAAATTCTGAAGAATAAGAAGTTGTAGACAGTAATCTCTTTCCAAAAGAATTAGATAATTTGGCTTTAATGGAATTAAGAGAGAAGGAATTTTCTTTGAGATTTGGAGCAATCCCAGAGGATTCTGATGAAGATATTGGAGAAAAGGTAATTAAAGCTTTAGGGAAACCCATTATGAATTTTTTGTGTAAAATAGAACAAAATGAAGAAGAGAATTGTGTTGTAACTTCAGAATCAATTTATAATTGTACTTATAACTGCTGTAAACAAGATTGGAAGCCACTTTTGTTTACTTGTTTTTTTCCCCAATTTTACACTTTCTCCCCTTTCTTGTCCTTTTAGCTTTTTCTGATTTCTTTATTTTCTTTTCTTCTACTTACTTTATATTTATTTATTAAGAAAATGTATTTGGCCACTCAACTCACTTTCTGTGACTCCAGTCAACCTATAAGGATAAAACCCCAGTGCAAAACCAGTATTACTTTTATTCATTTGTATCTTTCTTTTTAAAAGAAAAAGAATTTAAAAGGAAGTAAATTTGCTAGTGAAAAATTATAGATGATACAGATAAAGAATCGGCATAAGCACTTATACCAGCCTTCTTCAATTTTCTGCTTTTCAGATGTAAGGGTATCCTAATTCCCCAAATTTCCATCCAGTATGAAATACCCTTATGAAACTTTTAAATACATGCATTTATTCAATGATCCTCCAAAGCAGCAATTAATAACATGTGTCCAGAGTCTTAACAGTGTGATTCATCATTCCCACCCATCACCAATAATAAATTCAGTCAAGTGTAAACATATTTTGAGAAAGCAAATAGAGCACAGTGTAAATATCACAGGCTGCCTAACAGAAAAGAGTACTGAAAACTGTAATTCCTATCAGCAGTGTGCACTGCAATTCGGTGGATGCAGGCTTCCTGTGAAAAAGTAACAGCAGAGGACACAATTCTCTGCTCTACCAAATGAAGTGAAACAGGACGTGTTCTGCTGAACAGTGTTCTGTTCTAAGTAAGAAAATGTAATAAAGTGTGTTTCCAGCAAGGTGGTTTTAGCAATAACCAGCTGGAAATCTTAAGTACGGACCATTAATTTCTAATGAGTGATTTAAAAATAAGAAAAACAATTTAATGCGTGCATTCTTATCCTGTGTTGTGCCTATAAAACATTTTTGCAGAAAATAAAAGCACCCTAAATCAAATCAAAACAAAAACATTTAATACTTCCTTCCTGGCATTGTGCATAACACAACACCAGCACAGTACTTTTTAAAAATACTTGGAATGTAAACCCACCTTGCACATTTTATGACTCTTTAAATTGAAGGAAGGTGGTTTTCTCTATTTACACTGTTCAGCTTGTTCCTTTGGAAGTGAAAGCATTCCTTAAGATTTCATAGCCGTCTTGTAGAAAAGAACGGAAACCTTCACTCTTCACAGAGGAACTGCCAAAACATCTCCATGTAACTTGAAAACTAAGCCGCTATTAACCAATAGTTGGCACTATATAACTTGTCAGTTTAATACTGTGTCTTGGAAATGGAAAAAAGATTGATGATACAAGCTACACCCAACCAACACTAAATGGTAAGAAGTAAATAATCCGCATACTTACTATTAGAGGCCTCAAATGACTCAAACTTTACAGGCTGTATATAATTAACTAAGTTTGACATTTCCTCAGTAGCCATGGCCTCACTTCCAGCTGTTCCCTAGAACAGAGTTAAACTAATATTAATACCAGAATGCTTTTCAAATGGGAAGGTTGAATGAGCTTCTAGAGGAATGAACAATTCTGCTCTTCTCTTTGAAATGTTTCCATATCTCAAAAGCAAAACACATTTAAATCCTAAAACTTGAAATATGAAACTTGAAATAAACAAATCATCTAAAATATGATGTAGAAGTACACATAAGCCAACCATTGGCACATGGTGGCGCAGTGGTTAGAGTGCAGTACTGAAGGTTACTTCAGCTGACTGCTGGCTGCCAGCAGTTTGGCAGTTTGAATCTCACCGGCTCAAAGTTGACTCAGCTTTCCATCCTTCCGAGGTCAGTAAAATGAGGACCCAGATTGTTGGGGGTGATATGCTGACTCTGTAAACTGCTTAGAGAGGGCTGTAAAGCACTGTGAAGCGGTATGTAAGTCTAAGTGCCGTTGCTATTTTACTTACCCAGCTTTGTGGAGTTATTTCAGTTCCCTAAACCAGGGATGCTCAACTTGTGGGCCATGGCCCACTACCGGGCTGCAACCTTTTCATAACCAGGCCGGCTAGGTTGGGGACCGGCTGGAGTGCGCACACACAGCCCCACTCGTGCGAACTTAGTGGGGCCTTGCAGTCCCACTTGCACAAGTGTCATGGACACTCGGGGCATCCCATGAGCATCATGGGCACTTGGCATGGGCACTCCCTACTCGCATGAGCACTCACAACCTCACTTGCACGTGCCTGCTTCTCCCACAAAACCATCCCCTCTTTCCCCACTCCCTACTCCGCCCCCTCACTCTGGGCCATCAACCGGGAAATGTTGGAGAACTCTGCCCTAAGCAATATAACAGAGCGTATGTGGAGCAGCATCCCTACATATTTCAGCATCTTCTCTCACTAAGGACTGAGTGTGCTATTTCCAAAATAAAAAGCCTACAGAAGTTATTTACAAATGGTTGCTGATCATACTAAATTAGACAGGGAGACATGGAATAAAGAATTGGAATGTCTGGTTCGGGAATATCAACAAGAAGCCTTTTTGGCACCCATCTTTTCCATTACTCTAGATTTAAACAAGTATTGATAAAAAATGTATTTCAGACTCTTATAAGTATGCCTTCTTTAAAGAAGACATGAACAGATTTTACTTCACTAGTCATTGTCAGCTGTAGGGGTACTCATCTCCATTTCAAGGATATTAAGCTAGCGCTGTGCAAAGACATTTCCATGGTCATATGGCCAGCATGATGTCGCAGAGTACTGTTACCTTTCCACTACTTGCCTTTCGAACTGCTATGTTAGCAGAAGCTGGGGCGAGGATGGGAGCTCACTCCGTCACATGGCGCTCAGGTCTCAAACCTGGGCCACTAGCTTTCCAGCTGACAAGCCCCACACCTTAACTACTGAGCCATTGCACCACCCATTGTAGTCATTTCGTCAGATTCATTTACCAACAACTATAAAATGATCTGAAGGATCTCACCTTGCTTTGTATTTTTGAACAAGTGTGTGTCCAACAACATTTCAGTTACAATTTTACCTTTCTTGTTTACTACTAAGTGAACTAACTTACCTATTCATATTGTAATTCTCTAACATTATGCTTGTGCATGTATCAGGGTAATTTCTAGCTCTCTATCTTTGTCTCTCTCAAAAGACAACGATAAGACAAATAGTAAGTTGATGGGTATTTTCAACTTACTGGAGCCAAACCTTTTCTAAATATGAATAAGGTACAGGAGAACTAGATGTGGAGATGCCAGGAAGCAGAGGGTGAATTGTGCCTCAAATAAATTCACCTAAAAGTGGAAATCTCTTCCATAAGTTTTGGATCAGCAGTAAAAGAAATTATGCCAAATCACTCAGGGCTGGGTTTTGGTTCTTACTATCCACAAGATGGCAGTAGAATACTGACTCATGCAGATAATTATGTAGACATATTTCCAAGTCATATCAGGACAATTCATACTTCAAAATTCCTTACTTCATCCATTGATGATTTTTTGCAGTCATCATCATAGTCATCATCCTCGTCACTCTCTATCTCTGCTTCACCTGCAATATTTTAATTGGCAAAGAGAAATCTTAATGAAAACATCAACCAATATTCACATATATTTTATAAACATACCTTTGCTTCAAAGCAAATGCATTATTACAAGACCTACTGCACAGATGTTTTCCTCCTTAAATTATTTATGGAAAAAAATCAAAATAGTGCCTTCTATGACTAAAACAAACAAGCAAGCAAACAAAAAAATCAGCTTCATGACTCTACTTGCACATTTTTGTTTTTTAACATTATGAAGTTCATTATATAAGGTTTTATTTTCCACTGATGATTCAAATGGTTCTTCACTTCTGTCTGAAATGTAAGGGCAAAGACTGTTTCCATTATTCATAGCTTTACCAGATTCATGCACAAACATACATACAATATATACAGACACAGTATTAT